CTAATCTTGCCACTCTGCACATTCATATGGATTCATGTGCTTTTTTAAGTAATTCAGCCTTCTAGCTTATTTGCTGTTTCCAAAAGCCCCTACAATGCTGGCAGATTTGTTCATGGGCTCTGCTTTGGAGTTAATGCAACAGCAGCCACCAAGGCAAAGCTAAGGCATAACTTGTGTTGCCTCTTCTACAGTAACATCTTCCTATTAGCTGGCTCAACGAAATTGCACCAAGGCTTCCTCCACCCCAAACTGACTTCTAACACTATAATAGCAGTTAATACAATAACTGCGTGTACATATGCATATATGTGTATGCATATCCAACATATAAATCCCTCACACCAGGCCCTAGAGCATAGAGCTCATGCTCTCTATAATTCTTAAGTTCTTTATTCTCTCAGATTGCATCAGGGGCTCCCAAATACTGAACATACTGTGAATTGAAGTACAGATTTACACACGAGCACATATACATGTGCATATTCACACATTTAAACACAACTGCGCACCAAATACGACCTCAAAAAGCCTTGATCCAGGTGTTTTACTGCGAGTTGTATGTTGCCTTTTAAAGAGTTCTAGCCCTAAACATTATGGGTCCTTCCCTCCCACTTGGAGGTGGCCCACCATAGAGCTACCTGCATGTTTTTAGACACATTCTGACTGTGTTTCCCTTATTACATTTTTTTCCCCCACTGTGTGAATGTTGCTTCTGTTTTAAGCTAGCATTCACCAGAAGAAGCTCTTTTTATGATTGCACCCAATAAAGTGAACTGTTTTCCAGACAGTATGTCTACAGAGGTAAATAATGATGAAGCCAAGAGACGTTTATTCAAGATCCTGTTCCTGGCTGGCTGTGGAGATTAAGCATGCTGAACCTTGACTAACAGATGATGTGCAGACCGCCTGGTCTTCTAATGCAAGCTGGGAAGCCGCGGTTAAGGATTGGGGCTGTGGAACAATCTATCAAAGCTTTAGAAGAACACTCCCCCGACATTACAAGTAGCATCTCCGGAGGCTGATAGAAATAGCTGACACTCAGCTTGCTGCCTGATATTGAATGTAGGCCGTAAAGAATTTTAGACTTCAGAGCTTCTGTAGAACTCAAAAGGAGTGCTGAACAGATAACAACAACGACCACAATAATAAACTTGAGTCATGACTCAATATCGTGACTCAATAGTCACAATATCTACCAATATGAGTCCATCCAGTCTCTAAAATAACCAAAATTCAGACTAACAAAGTGCATTCCAACTCAAACGTGCATAAGAGAATGATTACTTATGTGCACAGGAGGCTGATGAATCACTCTCTTAGGCTTTTGTTTGCCTGATTATCCCCTGGGGTGATTCACCAGACTCAGCTCTGAAAATGTTTTTTTTCCCAAGACAAGGGGAAGGGAGAAACACTCTCTGCCTGTGAAAGCAGCAAAGGACAGTGGATATATTCAGCTGGTAGCAAAATAAAAAGATGAGAACTATTTCATGGGGTATCTTTGCCAACAAAAGTGCTGGAACTCTTTTTTTTTATAAGAAAATCCAATTTTAAAGAAAATAAAACTGGGTATCAAACTTTGAGAAATGAAAGACTGTTGGATCAGGTTTCAATGTTCCTGTAGTTTCAGGTAAGAAATAGTGTTGCTCTAAAGAGTTTGTTAATTGGCACAGAAAAGGGACACACTTTCAGTGATTTCATTTGTCAGATGCTGGCAAATCAGCTCAGCTTTGGCTTTTTGAACAAATGAGATTTAATGCAAAATTTTAAATTATATCTGTGTAGTTAAAAAAGAAAAAAAAAGTGAAAATATTACATAGTTATGCTACCAAAAGTGGTCCAGGTAGGACAGACTGGATGAGTGTCTTCATCTGACATTCATTATATAGTGTCTGGTTACCTCCCTTGTAGTGCACATGTGATGAATAACATCTAAATGCGAAGCCTGCATTGACGCATCTTAACTGCTGTGTTTGTCCATGAAAGGAAATACACAACTTCCTTCCATAACTAAGCTCTTACAATGTTAAATCTAAAACCTGCTGGTTGAATTAATCTGAAGTGCCCACTTCTCCCAAGAGACTATAAAAGCAGCCTGAGTTGAGTAGACGAGATGTCTACACTGCAGATATTCAGTTAGATGACAGGAATACTACTGAAGAAATCTCAGACAGACACTGCCAAATATATCTGGGAAGACAGTGAGCTGGAAAACAAAAACAAAACAAAAAACTGTATTTTGTATCTAGCATTATAGAACCCCATAAGGTTTTTGATATGTCTTCCAAGTCCACACCTATCTGGGTAAAAGCAAAGATGATGACCTCTATACAGAAGAAAAGAGAAGTAACTTTTCTATTCAATTCCTTTGGTGGCATGACCTTAACCACTGTATTATGTCCAGTTTTGGCCACTGAATTTTAAAGATATACTTTAAAAATACAGAAAAGACCAGACAAAACCACAAGTGTTCTGGGAAGAGGGAAAAAAAAAAAAAAAAGGAAGAAAATTTAGAGAGACCGAGGGAGTCCAGTATATACAAGAGAAAATAAAAAAGTTAACAGTAACAAACAGTAGGGTTGAATTAAACTAAAATTTTTCAATTTTATAAAATTTTTGATAAACATTAGTGTGCTAAACTCTCTATTATCAGTAAAAAAGAGGCTTACATTGCTTTCAGAAAAGGATTCATCCTGTTTATGAAAGGGTGAATTTCACTCCTCCGGTCGGGAGTCCTTCATTCTACTCCTGGCAACAACACATGGATGCTGAAACAACCGGTGTGGGCGTGCTGAGCAGCAGGGTCTCTGCGCTGGCGAGCCAAAAACTTCTATCTCGGGTTAAACACAACTTATAGAGCTCCCCAGCCCGCAGCAGTACGCGGAGCCCAGCAACAAACCAGCCAATCAGCGAGGGGATCCCGCGCGAGGCCGCCCAATGGGCTGCCTGGTCACGCGCTGGCCGCGTGGCTGCAGCTCCCGCCGCTCCTGCTGGGCTCCTCCGTGTGCCCCGGAGACACCCGCGGCCTCGGCCGCAGGGTGACTGCGACAAACGGAGGGATGTTTGTGTGCCCTGCAGTTTTTGATAGGTAGAACATACGCTGCTGATGGCATAAATGTTCTTCATGCATTTTTTTTTTATTGGAGGTCATGGGATTTCACAATTCTTAAGTTCCTAGAAGTGCTGTCTGCATTAGTTTGTTGTTCCACAACTTCTATTCTCTTTTAGCCTCCTTCAAATAATAAAAATTTACACATAAAGGATGGATTCATAGCCATATATAATGAACATAATGCATCTGTGTATATTATCAGTGGAAATGTGGGAATATGGGAAGAAATTAAATCTTTTTTTTCACATCAGAATGTTTTATGGCAAAGTTTGTGGTGTTTTCTAATGGGAAAAAAAAAGTTAATTTTTAATTTGCTTACACAGGTTGGAGATTTGTCAGAAAGACTTCTTGCCCCACAGGAGAAGCCTGTGTGCAGTGCTTCAGTTTTAAGTGCTTTTCAGTTTTAAGTAGCAGGTACCTAGCAGTGTGCAGACCTCTGCACTATCCAGTCTGTATGAGTGGCAAGCTCTGTCTACAACTTGCTGTTGCATCCTGGATAAGCAGCTTTCTAATTCTATCTTGACATTCCTGATCTCAAATTTAGATTTCTGTGGTCCCAATGAAATTGAACATTTTTTTCTGTGATTCTTTTCCAATCGTAAAACTCTCCTGTAGTGACACTCATGTGGCAGGACTTGCCACTTCTGTTGTGGCAGGCGTATGCTCACTGCCTCCGTTTCTGTTGACCCTCTTATCCTATCTGTCTATCATTTTCGTACTCATGAGGATTCCTTCTGCCACTGGAAGGAAAAAGGCCTTTTCCACGTGCTTTTCACACCTTATAGTGGTGATACTTTTTTTACTGGTCCATATTAACAGTCTATGTATTTCCTCATTACAGTACACAAATATCTCTGAACAAAATCTTCTCTACCTTTTACACCATTCTCACTCCCTTGGTCAATCCTCTCATTTATAGTTTGAGAAACAAAGAGGTAAAGGAAGCTCTGCAAAAACAGGCAAGTAAATTACTGTATTTCAGAGAATTGCTTTCTATTTTAAAAAAGGGTAAATAATGTTCACTGTTCCAGAACCATATGGCTGAGCGTGTGCCAGGGTTACACTACACCTGGGCTTTCAATCGAGATTGGCAATGAGCTCAATGTGTTTACTGAGCATGTGTATAATACAAAAAAAACCTCATTTAGTGTCCCGTGGTGTTCCTCACAATGGATCGATGCTCAGCCATGTAAGGACTCTCCTGCTCCATTCTTGTCTTGATTAGAAAATTGCTGGAGAGCTCCCACTGACACGCAGAGGTAATACACATCATTGACCATAGCGTGCCTTGTGTTTGTGTATCTGTCCCTGAGAGGAGTGCAGGAGCTGCCCTTGCTGTACCCTACAAGCAGCGTATAGAAGTCAAGTGACCACTTTACTCTAAAGGTGTTGTTTTCAAGGCTAGGATACAAACAGAAAAAAATAAATAAGATGGCCAAAAAGCTGGAGAAAGAGTTTTCTGGGAAAAAAGGAAGAGCTGTTAGGAGTCTTCTATAGATCTTAGAATTATGATTGCAATGTGTGTTTTTAGTAAGATTTAACATGGCTAAAAACGTAAGGAAATAGTATGGCAAGAAAAGTTTCACATTTCTTCATAGTGTCCAGCAGTGCAATGAGTAGTGGAGAACAGAGAGCAGGAGCAGAGAGTGGAGTAAGAAGTGAAGCGCAGCACCAGGGGTGGCCACTGCAGCAAGGAAATGCGTCTCTTGAGAACAGTTAGAAAGACAAAGCAAGAAAATGGTAGCAAGAACAGCCCTGGGATCTGGAGGAAGGAATAGCTGGAGAGGTGGTTAGCAGAAATAGGAAGAAATAGTACCACATGACAACCAAAGCTGTATGAGACTGACAGAGCCTCTCCAGATCAATAAATGTCTATATTTCTTTATTTATTCTAATGAATGTCTAGAAAACTAGTTAACACTTAGATATCTGCAATTTAACTTCTACATATGTTTTAGTCAGTTATGTACCAGCATACTCAGTAGAGCCAAAAAAAAAAAAGACATAAAGACATTTCTATAGTGTGATATTTTGGACTTCGTAGGATATGATGGATTGTCTTAGAAGTGTCTATTCCTAGGAGTGATTCTATGACTGGCTCAGCTGTTAATATTTAGAGGTCAAATAATTTGCCAAATACAGAACTTCAGGGCCCTTTGAGATACCTGGGAGTATCTTATCTGGCTTCCAACAAGGGGGCAGGTCTCCTAGGAGATCGGTAAGACAAATCAGTAGGGTCTTTTCGCCTTTGCCAGCTTTTTGCAGATGTCTTGGATACTCTAGCACATTTCAAACACCACTAGGTGTGTGAGCAACAATCAAAACCCTGGGTTACAAATGTCTGAAATTAGGTATGGCAAATTCCTCTTTTATTGGCTAATGAGTTTCCTAAGTTTTCACAAAATATTATGTTCAATGTAGGTCTCAGACATTTTTCAAGGTTTAGTTCTGGAAACATAAATTTATCATTTTCTGTAGAAAAAAAAAAGAGCTGTAGGGACCATTTCAATTAAATTTGTCCATTCAAATGTCAGCTTTTGCCTCTGAGTGATATGCTCTGCTATCTTTATGTTAATAAAAAGAGAATTGTTTCCAGATGGCGATTTACCCATTCTCAGACTGTCGTATAAAACAAATGGTCCGATTTGTTTGGGATTTTTTTTCTGTCATTAAGACAGGCTTCCTTGACAATTCAAAAAAAACTATATAGCTACAGGTGTTTCCCTCATCCCAATGCATTCCAACAGAAAATAGCACTTTTCCCTGCTTGAACTTTTAATTACTCGTAATTTTATTGTCTCACTCATGTAAGGAAAAAGAAAAAAAAGTAGTTGACTCTCCCTAATTTAAGTTGTTCACTGCTGCTGCAATACCAAGGGACGTGCTTTGTCTTCTGAGTATTCTTGGCAATGAATATAGAGAGGACTTCCCATCTCAGAAAGACATGTAAAATAAAATGCAGGTCAGAAAACAAAAAAAAACAGGCAAACCTCACCAACTCTTCAAAATTGTGCACGAAAATCTTCACAGACATGAAGCATCGCGCAAATGGGGAAAAAAGGTATCCCGATATCTGAAATGGGTAACAAAGGCATCATAGCAAAAACTCTCAACTGCTTCTCATGAAAATTGAGGTATATCATTATTTTCTAGACATTATGGTAACAGAAATTGGCAAGAATAACGTGTGTTAGTATTGACAGATCAAGGGAAAAATGCATTTGTATATTTATGGGACAGGATAGAATGCATCTGAGCGCTCTAGCCATCTGCAATGGATACACTGATGTCAGAGCTAAATGTTAAGACTTCCTTTGAGATGTAAGAAACTCAAGCACTTTTGGCATTTAGCCTATTTTATATCTCTTCTGATGTATGAAACAAATAACGCCTAAAAGCATTTATTTCTTTTCAGGCTCTAAGGGAAATGTAAATGAGTAGCTCAGCTGCTGATGCTTAGCATATGAATGTTCAGAGATGAAAACACAAAAGCTTTTTTCTAAAGAAATATGGATTTCTTCAGAAAAGCCTCCTTCATGGCCTTTTATTTTTATTTTTTAAGAAACAAAGTAGCTGCACAATTTCAGAGTGAGAAGTGCTACCCAGAGCGATGCAATCAGGTCGCAGAGTACTCCAGGATTTCATGAAGTTCAGCTAAGACAAATGCCAAAGTGTTTGGCATTGGGACATTATATGCCTCTGTACAGACTGGGGAATGGCTATCTAGGGAGCAGTTCTGCAGAAAAGGATGTATGTGTACTGCGGGAGGGCAAGTCAAAAGAGAGCCAGCAGTGCATTCATGAGGTGGTGAGGGATAACCACCTAGCCAGAGGTAAGCAGCAAGCTGAGGGAAGCGCTGATTCCACCCTACTTGATTCTTCTGAGGTCGCCTGTGGAGAACAGCATCCAATTTTAGTATTCCCCATACAAATGAAAGACTGAGAAACTAAAGAGCATCCAGAAAAGAGCCACAAGGATGGAGCATAAGACATGCGAGAAGAGGGAAAGGAATGGATTTTCTTAGAAAGGGAAGGCAAAAGGGGGAGTCTCATTGCTGTCTTCAGAAAAAAAGAAAAAAAAAAAAAGGAGCTAGAACTACTGAACTACTGAACGGTGCCCAGTGAAAAGTAAGTCAATGGGCAGAAGTTGCAGCTAAGGAAATACCCAAGTTTATTCATCCTTGCTGAAGGAAATTCAGGAAGTTTGCTGGATTTCACTCTAAGCTGTATGTTGGACTGTGTAGGTCCCTGTGAAAATCTTCACCTCACTGGAAGACAATAAAACATCACTAAGGTTTAACATTGCACTTTTATACAGAATATATTTTCACATCTCAGTGGAAGTGTTCAACTCATCTGACCTAAACTCTCACATTTCAGATTATGTTGTTTTATGTAGCATGTATGAAGCACTATCCTGTTCTCATCCTCATTTTTGAAGTAGGAGATGCATGCACCTCATTCAAGTAATTAAACAATAGCATTTAGAAAAAGAAGACATCAAATTAAGAAGCAGTACTTTGAGTGAAATGTTTTGCAATTATTCAGCAAACGGAAAGATCAAGAAGATAGAGATATCTTGTTTGTGATGGCCTGTCTAATTTTGTTATTTCATTCCTGCATTGCAGGTAGTGGCAAGATGGAGTCTAGAAAACAAGTGTGTTGGAAAAACATACTGAAATGTTATGTAGCGTAAGAATGCAGATTTTATCTCAGATGGGGGGGACACCTTCATTGCAAACATCTAAATAAGAGCGGGTAGATTGTACAGGTCTACAGGAAGAAGGTTACTTAAAACACTGATTCAATAAGTAATTGTTCAGGGAGCTGAAAGTAGAGCAATGCTAACTAGAAAACATAAATCTGGTGTATCATTAGTTTATACTTTTGTAATGATGAGACCAATAGCTAAATATATTCTTTGTCCACTCTTCAAACTGTCAGAAATGTGCAATATATGTGTGTGAAACAAGGGGAAATATATATATTTTTAATAAAGCAAATATTTTAATTATATTACAGCTCCATAGGAAATAAATCCACATTTTGCACATACAAAATATAATACATAAATTGTTGATTAAAATATTTTTCCCAAAAAAAATCAGTTGACATAAAATGCTAACTAGACACAATAACATAGTAGCTTAGTTAGAAAGAAAACAATCAAATTAGAAGCAAAGCAAAAGGGCAAAATGTAACTCTTCTGTATTTAATGTGGCTGTTTTTCTTACTTCCTTGTTTTATTATAAGCATTTATATTGAGTTTATTATAGATGGCTCTTAATTGCCTAGTTGATCACCGAGCCTGTTGAATTCATAATTACATCTTCCTCCCTATAAACATTTTGTTCTTTATTTGTTTCATGTTGGATCACACAGGCTGAGCTGGAAAACCTCAGAGGAACATCTCTTTCAGATGGAAGGTGCCAATGTAGCACGGGTCACAAACTGGACCTATTTCACCTTGCAAGGGTTCTCCCACCTTGCCACCTTCCAGGTCCTCCTCTTTCAGGGAATCCTTCTGATGTTCTTGATCACCATGACAGGGAACATTCTCATCATTGTAATTACAACCACCAGCCCTGCCTTGCACACTCCCATGTACTATTTTCTCAAAAACTTGTCTTTGATTGAAATTTGCTTTTCGTTAAACATAGTGCCCAAGATGCTTGTAGATTTGTTGTTGGAGAGAAAGGTTGTCTCCTTTTTTGCCTGTGCCCTGCAGCTTTACTTTGTCATATTCTTTGTCACTTCTGAGTGTTTTCTCTTGGGTGCCATGGCATATGATCGATACGTGGCTGTATGTCATCCCTTACATTATGTCACCACAATGAACAGGAGAGTGTGTCTTCACATGGTCATAACATGCTGGGTTTCTGCTTTTCCATTTGCTGTAGGACTTACTGGTTGGCTGTTCAGCTATCCTTTTTGCAGCTCAAAGGTGATTGAGCATTTCTTCTGTGATATTTCCCCCCTTCTGGACCTGGTTTGTTCAGACACATACTTATTTGAGCTTCTGGTGTTCATTGCTACTGTTATAATTGTTTTGATCCCATTCATTTTGATAGCAGCGTCTTACACCCGGATCATCTGTGCCATTCTCCAAATACCGTCTGCTGAAGGAAGGCACAAAGCTTTCTCCACCTGCATTGCTCACCTTGTGGTGGTGACACTCTTCTATTGCACAATCGGCCTGATCCATTTAAAGCCAAAGTCCAGCCTTTCACTGAACAACAAGAAACTGGTAGCTCTTTCCTATACAGTAGTGACACCTATGCTGAACCCAATCATCTACAGCTTACGAAACAAAGAAGTAAAAAATGCCCTGAGCAAAACCTTGGGAAGGAGAAAATTTGTCAGCAAGATGTCTTTGCCCAGAGAGTATCACTGATTCTCTGACCACTGTTCACACCTCACCTATTAAATATCAAGGAATTTGTGTTCTTCAAAGCCTTTAAAGAATCTACTCATTTTAGTTTTTATTGAAAAGTCCTAGAAAATGTAAATCATCTTGTATTGAATTAATAAATATACTTAATGCAAGCTTTGAAACATTACGTAGGCTACAGAAATATAGCCATAAATTAGCATCTTTAAATCTTTTGCCCTCTTTCTACTCAATGATTAAGCTTCAAGAGAGTATAAAAATAATTATTGTCATAAGAAAACATGGCTCTGGCCATACAAAAATATCTAATATGCAGAAAAAAATCTAAAAAAAAAGGAAAAGTCTTAGCTTCTCTTGCAGAAAGCGAGTCAAATCTCATCACCAGCAGAGCATATTCTCCTTTCGCACACCAGACTTGCTCCATAGAACCAATATAATTTAGCTGATACCTTCTGAGGTCAATTTGAAGTGTGTGAAGTGATGAATAGCACAGTCCCCAGGTTTCCTCCACCTCCCTGGCTTTCTTTTCTTTTTTTCTTTACGTCTTTCTTCTTGGTTCTTATTCTTTCTTCTTCCTCCTTTCTTCATTTTTTATCCTTTTTCTTCTTCCTTTTCTTCTTTTTTCCTCTTTCCTCTTCCTCCTTTTTCTCAACATCTTTATTTCTTTCTCAACTGCCAGCATTCCCAAAACAAGTCCCCAGTCTTGAAAGCACCCCATGCAAAAACACAACCACCGTCATTCTTTTCAACTCCCCACCAGCAGCTTGCTCACCTTCCTACCAGCCCATCCTTGGAGGGAGGCGCTGCAGGAGGTGGACGGGGCAGCAGCGCTACCTCTATCAGCAGTGGTGGAAAGAGCTTTTGCTGTAGAGCAGAGTGGCGCAGCGGAAGCGTGCTGGGCCCATAACCCAGAGGTCGATGGATCGAAACCATCCTCTGCTAGGTTTTTTTTTTTCCTCCCTCTCCTTTCTCTCTTTCTTCTTTTTCCCTCGCTTTTCAGTAGGGGGCGCCCCTACTCCACCCGCAGTCCCATCCACCCGGCGCCGCTGCAAGTAACACCTCAGGGCGGGCTGGCGCATTCCACAACAGCGGGGCCGGTTAGCTCAGTCGGTTAGAGCGTGGTGCTAATAACGCCAAGGTCGCGGGTTCGATCCCCGTACGGGCCAGCTGTGTTTTTTTTTTTTTTTTTTCCTCTCTTTCTCCCTTCTCTCTTCCGCTCTCTCCTCAAAGGCGCCCGTCCCCTCTTTTGCGGGGCTATCGCAAGCGCTCGCACAGCCCTCAGCGGCGCCCGGCAACCCTCAGCTGTGCGGGAAGAGCAGAGTGACGGGAGCAAGGGAAAAAAAAAAAAGTTAGCAGAGGATGGTTTCGATCCATCGACCTCTGGGTTATGGGCCCAGCACGCTTCCGCTGCGCCACTCTGCTCCCGCTCACCAGTTTGTCCCTCTGCCTGCTATAGGGATCCTCCTCACGCTCTCTGCTGCCCCAGACAATCCCAACGTTCTTATCCCAGCCTGGTGCTGGGAGCCCCCAGAAAACGAGGATGGGGTTGCAAGAGAGGTCAGAAATGAGCCTGAGTTTGGACATCAGCACACGTCTCCAAAAGTCTCAGGGGAGGAGGTGGGAGGCAGATAGATATGAGGTTGGGGGGTCAGATGTGGGGACACAGACACAAGCAGGGTCACATGTGCTGCTGAGGGTCAGACACGGGTCTCAATGTCCATCCCAGGGCTCAGACACAGGAGTGGGGCAGGGAAATCATCCATCTCCTCCCGGTCCCAACCGGGAGGATGGTTGTGGATCTGCCTGTGGTCTCTGAGCAGGTCCCAGAGAACAACACATCCCTGCAGCCCTCTCTACCTTTTCCTGACCACAGATACCAGAGCCAAGGAGCCAGCTTGGTTTTCATCCGCCCGATACGAAGGCAGGCTGGGAAGAGGCAGAGGGGCTTGAACACTCCTGATCCAGGAAGATACCAGGTTCCCTGCTTGGGGATCTTACAGAAGAACCACTCTTTTTGTGGCTCTTCAGGATAAAGGAAAAGGCTCTTGGTGACAAAACCCAAACCAGTGGAGAGCAGATCAAGGCATGTGCACCACCTTGTCCAAGACCTGCTTTAAAAAAAAAAAAAAAAAAAACCCTCTGATGAACCAAAGATCTGTGTCACTCTCCATAGCTGCTAAGTGCTCTTTTTCCATGAATGGTGCAGGACCAGGGCAACTGGGAAGGACTTAGAGGTAAAAGAGGTATGTGCAACCAGGCTGAGACCTGGGCATGACAACAATGATCTGGGAGGAAGTTGCTCCCCACTTCCAGAGAACCCCAACAGAAACAACCATCATCACAAAAGATAGTTTGCGCTTCCCACCACACCAGGGAAACGCCACAGATCTCATGCCCCTCTGGTGAAATCTCATGCACTTATCTGTGCATGTCTGTCAGTACATGTTTCATGACACTTACCCATCACTATCATACCACACTCAATTTTGTCCAAGGGGCTCTTACTGGTGACACTAAGCAGCACCAACACCTGAGAAAAGTTATATGCAACCAGCTGCTAAGTGAACTATCAACTTCTGGCTACTACACATGAGGACAGCAGTCCAGCCAGTTTTCCACCCATTCAGGCACATCTCCCCACCACGGCTGCAAGGATGATATAGGGGACTATGCTGAAAGGCCTTCCTAAAGCCAAGGAAAATTACATCCACTATTCTCGCATCATCCACCAAGGCAGTCATCACACCATAGAAAGCAAGCAGGTTGTGCAGAAGGGAAGAGCAGACCACCTTCCTAGACCTCCTGACAACTTTTCCTAATGCACCCATTGGCCTTCTCGGCCACCAGGGCACATCGCTCCCTCATGGTCAGTCTGCAGTTCTCTGGGACTTCCAGATCCTTTTCTCCAGCAGGTCAACCCCCAAAATGCACTAGCACATGAAGTTACTTCTCCCTCTTTGCAGCTCCCTGCACTTACCTTTGTTGAACTTCATGAGGTTCCCCTTTGTCCAGCCCTTGGAGGGGCACCACACCCCTTGGGTGTTTTAGCCACTCCTCTGTTTGGTATCACCAGCAAACTTGCTGAGGGTGCGCTCTGCCCCTTCATCCAGGTCATTGACAAAGTTGGACAAGACTAGAGCCAGGACCGATCCCCAGAGCACACCACTAGCTACAGGCCCCCCATTAGACTCTGCACTCCTGATCACAACCCTCCGAGCTCTGCATTCTGCCAGTTCTTGATCCGCCCGCCTGTCCACTCATCTCACCCACTTTCCTGAGCTTCCCTACAGGAGGCAGTGTCAAAAGCCTTGCTGAAGTCAAGGGTGACAACATCCCCTGCTCTTCCCTCATCTATCCAGCCAGTCAGCCCCTCATAGAAGGCCACCAGGTCCATTACACATGATTTCCCCTCTGTGAATCCATATTGAGCTTGAGTTTTGCCAGGGGCTTCTTGCTCATCCATATGGTCTCTTGACTCCTGTGCCTGACTTCTTACTCATAGGGTGGTACCAATCTTGAGCTTGGAGGAAGTGATTTTTGAATATTAATCAGCTCTCTTGTTGTGTTAGTCCTAGCTGTTCTAGCATTAGAGGAAAAAAAAATCACCTAATGAAGGAGTATCTGGCCACCATTAGGATTTTTGCACAAGTTTTCTTCTCCCAGCACTTTTCAGTTGCTCGGGAAAAATATTTTAGCACTTGTTTCCTCAGGCTTGGGAAATGTCCCAGAGTTGTGGAAACGCTATTAATCCCCCTCAAAGAACAGAGGCAGCCAACAGGAGCAAGTGCTTTCTCCTAATTCAGAGAAATGAATTTCACTAAGATCTCTGAGCTAGAGAGGAAAGAACAAGTAAGCCCAATGTCTGCAGACACTCCCAGCATGATGATGGCAATACTACAGCTTTTTTCTTTTATCCCTTTCAGCCACTTGCTTATATCTTATCCAGAGTGATGCAGCTATTTTTAACTCTGGCAAAACTTCACATTTAAGCTGGTTCAATTAGGCAAAAGGCTCTTGTAACACTCTATGAACTAAAAAATATATATATTAAGCACCAAAAGGACTAGTTGTCACACAATTTGGTCAAACTGATTTTCAGATTAGGATGTTAACACCCTACATAACCCCGCACGTGAAGAAGACATGGCAATATTCAAGTAAAGACACGTCCTACCAGGCATTCAAGTTTCCAGTGCAGTTACCCTCATTATAAGGCTCTTCCTCAAGCAGTACACAGCCCATATCAACACCATCCATCTCCTGGAATTCAGCTGTTGTGTTCCTGCTGCTGTGAATGTGTCAAACCCGATTTCAGGGAAGGAAGAAGCATGGAGAATTGCCTTGAAAGACATCTTGATCTCCCCAGAGAAAAGTAAGTGCTACTGCACTTCACACCTCTTGTCCTAGGAGCCTTCAGGCAACTCCCAGTAATACAAGTCGCCAAAGGAAGTTTTAGAAATAAAAGCCATCACAGTTCCAGATATTACAAATATTATTTGTCTCGCAAGTAGATACAAAACATGCAATTTTTACAGGACAGATTATGTACATTTTCAAGCATCAAAAAACAGAGCCAGTATCTTATTTAGCTACTGTTGCCTCCACTGTTCTTTCCAGAAGCTCCTACTTTCTGCAGCCGGCTAGCGCTTGGTTGTCGAGGCATCCTTTGGGCAGATCCTTCCCGGCTGCTCCTCTCTCCTAGAACCTGGGTCCCGCTGACAGCAGAACTGGATTTATTTCTCCCTGAATGAACAAATACACACATTACTTTGAAATCCCAGCCCCATGCATTAATGGCATTGTATCTAAGCTGCAAGCGTTCCTTGGGAACTCATGCAAAAGGCAAAGTTTTATTAGAAAGTGCAAATTTATCCAGCATCCAACACAAAGCAAATTCGCAGATTTAGCTCAGCAGATATCAGGGCCACAAAGTCAAAACGCGCTGCAGTAGGAGCATTATTAATTGCCATCAATTTTAAGTAATCAGTAACTTTGTTCTTCAA